TTCCTCGAAGTCCTTTCTCAAAAGGATTCGTGCCCCATGCACTTCTCCCCCAAGTATCTTCCAAGCATGCCTTTGCACTTCACCTCCTTTCGGTGTTCACATGGAAAGTGCCTCCGCACTTGCACCCTCCGGTGTCTAACTTTGTGATTGACCCACACTAGTCAATCACATCATGACCCTCACGGCCTTCATGTTCGTCTGAATCTTCCCATTCAAGGTAAGCACATCAACGTGCTCTTTGGTGCGTCTCTAGTAGCTCAATCGCTCACATAGCCTCTAAACGCCCTCTGGCATAGCTCCCGTAGCCTTTCACTCCCGTAGCTTTTCCTTGCCCTCAGTACCTTTGAATATATGTTGGCTTCCGGACTCACAACTTCACCCTTATGCCTCTTTCATAGGCGGGATCCTCCCACACTCAATGTGGAGGATACTTCTTAGCGTTGTCGTCCCACTTGGCATTCGGCCAGCTCTTGGGACGACTCTTGGTGAGTACTACATTCTCAAAGTCATAGCATCGCCGTATTCCCGAACAAAGCTCTTTGTCTTCCAACTGTCACTTCTTGAGCAAGTACCCAATGCTCCCGGTAGTAGGTTACTACTCGCCCTATAGTCAGGTACTCTCTTGGTCTTTCTAGCACGGCTTCCCGGTCTGGTTGTGCCACACACTTAGACTCTCAACGGTCCCCGATCATTCGGCGTACTACTTTCCAAAATGATGACACATTCTAACTTGGATATCCGCCCAATTCTGAAGCTTCTCTATTTCCTAGACTTCATTTCCTTACCTTGGTAATGCCCTCAGGCAGTCCAAAAGTCTATCCCATAGGAAAGACACTCAACTGATGCGTTGCACGCATCCTTGGCAAGATCTCCGCTGTGATCATGCCCAATGTTTATAGTTCATGGCTCCCATTCTGTGCAATATGGTTACACGACCTGGCAAACATAGCCTTCTCTTGACCATCCGACTCATCGGTATATCACCTCATTCAATAGCACCCTAGACTTTCGAAAGAAAAATGGAATCACCCATTTCTTTCTTCGACCAGTAGTATCGGGTTCTCGATCTCTGGTGGCATATGAACATCAATCTCTGCTTTTACATGATCTCCGCTCTGACATCCAAAATGTACTCGCCATCTCCACATTTGCCTTGATATTGTGCCATGGCATAGTATGGCCTTAATCAGCTCTGATACCACATGTCACAGGTCGATTCCCTTACGCTCGCCAGCGGCACCTAATTGCCCATGCGGCTCTTGCAGTTCCCCTCGCTGCAGGCCAGCCTTCGTCCTATCCCAGGTTTTCAAGCACGATCTTGTGCCTGTTGGTGGAGCTCGCCCATGAGGCTCGCCCCAACTTGTGCCGTCCGTAGGATTTATAAGCACTTTGCCCTAGACATGTCGTGGTGCTTCTCATCGTATGATCATAATCCATGCGCGCCCTAGGGGTTGGCTTAAGACATGTCTTGTCCCTCGCCCAAGACTGAGCATCATTCTCGTGCGCACAGCCTAATCCTCAAGCTTGGCACTCGCCTAGTGCATCCGCAACTAACTCGTGCTTCGCCCGAGTAAGGAAACCTTTAGTCCTTGGCCATTGTCATGCGCGTCTTTCGTGCCATGCCCATACATAGCCCTCGTGACACACTTCCATCCCGAATAGTGCAGTGTCGCCCCATAACTGCACGTTTAGTCCAACGGCTCCCTGCTCGCATGGTTGAACCCAAGCCATGCTCACAAATCGACACATGATGCCCCTAAGATAGGTGAATCAAGTATCCAATCGGCACGAAGGTCTCCTTCCAACATTTCGGCAAGCCGTCCCACACATCGAGCCTCCAGCGCCACTTTGGTGCCCAACGCCAGTCCGAAGGCGTCGCGTCGTCTATAGAGTTCCCTAACTCGTATGGATACCTAGGACACTCCTTTGAGTCATCCAGGAAGGCCCTTGAGGTTCCCCTCAAGGTAGCTCATTTGATACGGCTTGGTGGCAGTACGTATAGGGGAGGGAGGTCGGAGCTTTCATCACCTATACCCCCTTATATATGCTTAAAATTAAAAAGTCCAAGTTACCTGAATAGACAGATCTACGTCATACAATCAGAAGAGCCTTTTCTCTCCAGTTCTTGGCCGAAGTCACAACCCCAAAGTGCGGGTTGTGACACTACATCTTTTCATGTTGGAACATGCAAAATATTTGACATAATTCTATTTAATAATATTTTTTCTTACTACATTTCTATTTTAATAATATTGTTATATGATTTTTATAACTATCAAGAATTGAAATTTCTTAATAATTTAAGTTTAAACTTTTTCAACAACTTTTCAACATTATTATAATATTAAGTCAAATAGCAAAGTAGTTGTAGACTAATATCATTTCTTCTTTTTGGTCCTAGCGTACACTTCTTAACAGCTGCGTCACTGCTGGACTACTGTCAGAAAGAACCTTGGATATCACGCGCTTGTTCGCACGTGAAGCTCACAGTTTAATTTGAGTTATTGAGATCTGTAGAGCACCAGAATTTAAGGAGAGGGATGTGCCTTCCTAAATTTTTCATGTTGGAAATTGGAGTGCATCTGTTAATATTTCACATGGTTTATATCATTGGCTTGAGAAGGAAAATATTAAATAAGAATAAGCTTTGAAAGAAACCAATCATTCTTTAATGATATGATCTACTACTTGGTATTTTAATCATTAGAATTATTTGTTATTTTTTGCACAATGTTAGTGTGGTCAATTTGCAATGCATTTTTTGAATGTCTGATCAGTATATACATCAAGTTTTTGTCCATTAAAATTATCTAATATATTTTGTTTATATTGAAATTTATATAAACTTTGATCTCTCGTGTTCTAGTGAAACTTTATTGCATGATATATCATACTCTTGCGTGCCTGCTAATTGTAATTATTATGATTATCCAATTTTATAATTTTAAGAAGGAATTTCTTTCTAAATATATCTACTCATTGAAATTGAGAATTTAATTTATAATAATTACTTTGTCCGTCTCACTTTATGTGGTGGAGTTCGAATTCTAAAAGTCAAATGAGTTTTCTTTAACTGCGATTTTTTCATATGCCTCTTAAATATTTTGAATTGTTAATTATTATGCATTATAGTACTTTATACATAGTTTTCAAATATATAAATTTTATTTCAAAAAAACTTAAATATTCTATATCCGAATTCACAGTCAAAATTAAAAGTTTAACTATCGAAATTGCCCGCAACATAAATTGGGACGGATGAAGTAGTTATTATGACAAAACTTATAATAAGTCAACATAAATGAGACAAAATACCCATAACCACACAAATTCGATGGCTAATATGGATCGTTATTGTTTCAAAAATCTACAATTTCCAAAAGTGCATGAAAATTTTAGCAATAATTGACCAGACCGAAAGCAAAATATCCTACAGGCCAAAGTTAAAATAATGGCGGCAAGTTTGCTATTGGCGGCTCACATTAGTTTTACTGTTGGTGAGGAGCATTTCTAGTTTGGTTTAGTGATTGTTTATGCGGACATATGTGTAATTTAAGGAATTTTTATTTTGAAAAGTTAGTAGTTTGCTCTAAAGACAAATTACCGAAGAGTAGTGAATGAAATGTGATCAAAACAGTATTTTAAAAGGTGTGAGTCGAGGCTTGCTGCTTAACACAAGGTGAGGTTAAGCCCTGAGATATGGAGTATAAGCTTTATGATCGTTAATGCTTTCAATATAAAAATTAATAAAATAGTAAAATAACCACAAAGAATATACAAAGTACATTAAAAAGTTTAAGAAAATTAAAAACTCACAAAAATAAAATATCGAGCATTTTTTTAATATAAATATAGACAATGCAATAGTTATAGAGTTTCTATAAGATAAAAATCAACTATAACTTCTTATAGTCTTTCAAACAGATAACAATATTTTAAAAAATATTATCAAATCCTCTAAAATTTAATAATCAATAAACTCCATCATTAATGTAATTTAAAATATTACTCCTTATGAGTAAATATGAAATTGCTTTCAAATAGCAAAATAGTAAGAATTTGATAATTTTAAGAGACATAAAACTAAAATATAAATACCTATAGTAAGTAAATATGTAAATTTTGGCTATTCAAATGATATTCATTCGCCAATGTTCTCAATTAGTAAATATGCAATATTATGACTCATTATTTTGAGTTATTCTCAATCTTTATATTTCTATGGATGAATAAAACTTTAATCATTCATTTGTTAAAGAAATTTGAGTGTCAACAATGCTAATTAGGGAATTTGATGCATGATTTGTGCTAGGAACTATTAGGCGAGCCCCGAGTCTGAAGAGCATTAGGCTTGTTTTAGGCGCACAACCGAGCGCCTGGGGTGTAAGTCTCACAAAACTAAGTTTCACATGTGAGCCTTGGAGTGTTTTGATAATACCCCTATCCGAGACGAGTCCCAAGAAAGCTTTTTAAAACACTAGATCAAAGTAACATAAGTATGAAAAAGAACTAGCATACAATCGACCAAATTAGTCTGAGATTGAAATGTAATTATTGTAATATTGTATAGGTTAAAGGTATGAAACTTATCCAGAGTGTTTATGCTAAACCGTACTAATTTATTAGAGTTAAGTGATAAGTCAAGGTAAAAATGTGTATTAATTAATTATATTTTAATGATAATCATACTTGTGAAGATATATATCATGTATATTCAATTGCAGTGTGACATAAGTTTTACCTGTTAGCAATCTGCTCAAACCCACATAAAGGAGTTACAGTATGTCATCAGTTAAGTAACGTAGTTTAGTTACAATGAATACTCAGAATTTCAATGTAGCAAAATAAATACACATAATTAATATAATCGACTTCGATTTGTTTGTCATTGAAGTAGTAGTTAATTATTTATTTGTAATATAATATATACGTTTCTAAAGTTTCCAAGCTGGGTTTTCCTGCCGTTGAAGCATGTTCACTGTTCTAAAATTCTATTTCCAGAGATAGAATTAGAAAGTGAACCATTGAACCAACCAACATTGAAACCTGAGCTAACGAGCGGGGATCCATTTGTATTGACGCATTTTATACTGACCTCAAAAGAGCTTGCTTTCTTTCTTCTTAATTCCTCAGTCAGTAATTCTTTTGTGTCCCTAAGTTATTGTTGCTGTTGTCCTCTTCTCTGTACCTAACTTCCTTTTCTTTCCTCTTTTCTCATTTCACTCCACTTTCTTATTAACTCTTCCACATTTCTTGTTTTCCTTTTCCTAAAGAAAACGGCAAGAAACGAAGTTCCAAAGGAAAGCAACATCGTATTGTCCTTTATTATAGTTGGTGGCTTGGTGGGTATGGCCTAATTTTAGCTTTTCTGGTGCGAGGAAGCAATTTTTTAGTTTTATTTTTGGTTTGTAATACGTTCCTTTACGTGTAGATTCTTTGTCTTTTAAGTATATATGAGTATGTCTTTTTAGGTGATAATGACATCCTCTACTGAATTATACGAATGGTTTTATCTAAACTAAAGTGAGTTTTAGATGATTGGTCCATTCATTGTTGATTGACAAGACTGAGGATAGAAGTACTCAGTACCACTTTCTATTCTCTTTCTCCTTTGCTACTATAACTATTAGCAGTTGGCTTTATATTCTGCTGTTCATATTAGCTTTCTTAAGGGGCAACTTCTGAAAGAGTCAACTTTTCTTGAGCTTTTGTGTGGTTTGGAAATGAGAAAGAGAGAGGAATATCATCATTTATCATCAGAAGATATGCTGGCTTTTGCAAGTCCTTGTTGCAGTGTCCATACGACTTCTACTTGCCACACTTTAGTTAGAGAACTTCAGGTAGTACTTAATTACTTCCCCTTTTTGTCTTCACTTTACTGCTTTGGGGCTTTGTTTGTTTCATTGGGGAATTTGGTCATTTATTGAGGGAATGTTCTGTTTGCTGGAGTCTTATTAACAATTCTTGATTTTTTATTTCTGTATATATCAAATTTCTTGCTTAAATCTGGACAAATTTCTGGGTTTTGGAATAGCTTTTGACAGTGAATAAATTGAAATAAAGTTTGGACTTGAGCATAATCAATTACTTTTTGCACTACAATTTATGGTTTGGCGGCTGGGATAGGTGTTGTTACTATCATGGTAGCTCAATTGAGTTGGAATAGTTCCCCTTTGTACTATTTTAGTTAAATCGAAATCACGTACTCCGTTTGTATGTGGTAAGATGGTGTATCAGAAGAGTTCTGATGGTGAGCAAGTTAATACTTTCATTGTATGATTTATGTTGAGTAATTAGTCGAGAGATTAGGATGTTCTCTAATTTTTCTCTCTCATATGAATCTCCTAAGTAATTTGAGATGAGGATTAATTGATTGGTGGATTAATTGTAGTTAGAAGTAAGAATCTTCATTTGCTAAATACAAGTTTGTGTTTCTGTATGTTTCTTAGTTTGACTTCCTCATCAATTAATTAGTTATGTGATTAATGTCCAATGTTTTCTCTATTTATAAATTTTATTTTGGATTTCTTGCATGGAATTTGTTGATTATTGAGCAGGGAGTTAGAAGGGGAAATGCAATTAGTAGTATTCCAATATGAATTTAGTCTATCAAGTTTGAAGTCTATGCAAAGAACCAATCTTTATTTGACTGTATATATGTGATGTCCAGCAAATATGGAAGGATATTGGAGAGACTGAGGCGGATAAAGACCGTATGATTTTAGAGCTGGAGAGAGAGTGTTTGGAAGTATACCGAAGAAAAGTTGAAGAAGCTGCCAATGCAAAATCATGCCTTCATCATTCTGTTGCTGCTAAAGAAGCCGAGATTGCAACCTTAATGGCTGCTCTTGGTCAACTCAATATTAATTCACTGGTAATGAACACTTCTGCTGCTGTTGGAGGAATTTTAGAATATCTTACCCCCTTTTAGGTTTACATTTTTCTGTTCCCTTAATCTACTCGTACTGCTTTCTCTTTAAGATAAAGGGATTCTGCTAAAAGTCTTGAATAGATTGAAGGTTTCTATGGTAATATATGAACTTCTACAAAATGTTAGTTTACAGACAGTTTCTTTTCGGTCACATACTAGTCATCCTCTTAGCTTTATGGGGTTGTCTCGGAAGCTTGATTGGCTCTTCTTTTGGCTGGAATTAGATACCGGATTAAAAATTTCTTAAGAACTAGAATAGATTGATGGAATTCAGTTCAATGTCACTGCACCACGTGATATTGATAAGGAATCAGAAACTGTTCTTTTGTCCTTGTAGTTATTTTGGTGTCTTTAGGGATGTGAGCACCGAGCTTGATTGTTTCAACTTATGATCTTTTAATGCATGTCATTATAGTCTATTTCATAGTTGAAAGCTTGTCGCTCATATATGATGAAGAAATAACGGCTTTACTTGCATTATGGAATATCTACTATGCTAAATGCAGTCCTATTTACTTATGATTGATTAGTGCACTGGTTTTACGCCTGTACCTCAGTGCTAAACCTGCTTATGGCATTGCAGACATCGTTATATATGTTCCAGGTTGCATTACTTGCGTTTAAATTGTAAATATTTTCGCTAACCTACTTATCATTGAAATAGAATATTTTGTTATAGTTTATTTTCCTCTTTTTTGTGCCTCTTCCCAGTTGGTTAGATGTAACTAATACTACTTATCAATTCCTTTTGCAAGTTTTCTTTTGGAGAAGTCCATTTTGATACTTTTAAAGTCAAGCAAACATCATTCTTACACTAATGCTTGAAAAACATGCTTTCTCAACTCAACAGATACAGCCAGAGAAGAAGTCAGCGTCATTGAAAGAGCAACTGGCATTAATTACACCACTTGTGGATGATTTAAGAGTTAAGAAAGATGAAAGAGTTAAACAGTTTGCAGATATAAAGACACAAATTGACAAGATAACTAGTGAGCTTTCTGGGTATTCTAATATCGTCAATGCTGTGAGTTCCTTAAATCTGGAAGATCACGACTTGTCACTGAGAAACCTCTCTGAATACCAATCTCATCTTCGTGCTCTTCAAAAGGAGAAGGTATGCATGGATTGACTTCCATTTTGACATGGAACAATATGTCGTGCTTAACCATCATGAGTGTTGTACTTTTGTTTAACCATTGAGTATGATTATTATAGCAAATTAACTGACAAATAATCTTTTCTGCCTGCAGTCGGAGCGGATCCAAAAAGTTGTGGACTGTGTAAATGAGGTGCACTCTTTGTGTGGTGTGCTAGGGGTGGATTTTGACAAAACTGTGAGTGATGTGCATCCAAGCTTGTACGAAACAAGCCTTGGACAATCCACTAACATCAGCACAAACGCATTGGAAAGTCTAGACCAGGCCATCTTCAGACTGAAGACAGAAAGAAAAGTTCGATATCAAAAGGTATTGCTTACTTCTGTCTTCTTTTAGCTTTTTCGTCTTTACCCATAATTTTAATGTCATCGCTGATGCAGCTAAAAGATGTTTCTGGATTGTTGTTTGAGCTTTGGGCGTTGATGGATACAACCAGAGAAGAGAAGGGTAAGTTATCGAGGATCACTTCCATTCTTCGTCTTTCTGAGTCAGACGTTACAGAACCAGGTGCTCTTTCATTGGAGGTTATTCATCAGGTTTGTGATCATTTACCTATCTTTTAAAGTATTTCTTGCCTTGCTCGCTACTTCTCATTGTTATTTCCCTTGAATGAGTCAACACCAACAATAAGGTAAATCATTAATTAATGTTGCATAAAGACGGTACACCTCATCAGGAGCGGATCCACCTTGCGACCTACGGGTTCACGTGAACCCAGTAGCTTTTGTTCAAACAGTGTAAATGTGTTCGAAAAATTCACTAAATATCTATACATATTTGAATGTGAACCCCGTTACTATTGAAAATTTACTCGAGGTCGTTGCAGGAACCCCCCACAAGCATTAAATCCTGGATCCGCCTCTGGTGACCTCATATGAAACTAGTGAAGCAGAGGGTTAATGTATTAGCCCATCGGACTGATTTCTCATAACCATAGACCTGTGACTGAAATTTATCCATACCTACTCAATAAACCCGTTATGACTACTTGTAGTGAACAATATTTCAGGCTGTAGAGAAGATTAATTTTGTCTGTGACATTATACTGATTTTAATAGGTATCAACAGAAGTTGAGAGGCTAACCAAATTGAAAGCAAGTAGGATGAAAGAGTTGGTCCTGAAAAGGAGGGCTGAGCTGGAGGACATATGCAACAAAAACCATATTGAACCTGATCCAAGTACTTCAGCCGATAAATCTAATGCAATGATCGACTCTGGTAAGACATCAAATCTTGGATACATAAAGCTGTATTCTTCTAAGACGTCCGTGCACAGCAATAAGTCCAATCTTTATTTGAAGGTCTTGTGGACCCCTGTGAACTGCTGGCAAATATTGAAGCACAAATAAACAAAGCAAAGGATGAAGCTTTAAGTCGAAGAGATATAATGGATAGAATAGAGTGGTGGCTTTCTGCTTGTGAGGAGGAAAATTGGCTTGAAGATTATAACCAGGTATAAATTGAATGATCTCATGTGGGCTAATGACATGCATAGCTTATCATAGATCTCCATTTACTACTGACTAGCGTCCAGTTACTCTAGCTTTTCTTATGCTGGGACTGTATTACATTACTTATCAAATAAAATAGTTGTAGATTTATTTTGTCCAACGTTTGAGTAGCTCCTTTTCTATTATCAGGATTATAGACGTTACAGTGGTGGAAGAGGTGCTCACATAAACTTAAAGCGGGCTGAACAAGCTAGAATTAAAGTGACTAAGATTCCAGGTAATTTACTCTTGGCTTCCTTTTCATTTTATCTCGGATAGTCTGTGAAAAACTGAAATCAAACGCATTTGTTTTCAGTTGTTGTTAACACATTGATTAATAAGACACTAGCTTGGGAAGATGAGAAACAGAAATTGTTTCTTTACGATGGGGTGAGTTCTCCTGCAGCTACAAGTTTCCAGATCTTCTCTTTTGTTTGTACTGTTTTCCAAATGAAATGGTTTTTATGTGTAGGTGAGATTGGTGTTGATATTGGAGGATTACAAAATGGTTAGACAGCAGAAAGAAGAGGCAAAGAAACGGGCTCGGGTAAAGTCAAATATTCTCATCTATTACTAAATGTCAATTAGTGTATGAAAAAGTAGCACATTGCAAGTTAGGAGAATGCATCTATAGAAGTCACATGAATTAATTTGTCGCATGTAATTTGTCCTTCTAGTATACAGCTTTTTATATGTATTTTGATCAAGTTCAAAGATGAAGAAAGAGAATCTAACTCTTTTGGTATTTGAAAGCAGAAATGTTTGACCTTCATATTATCTTGTTGTTCAGGATCAGAAGAAACTCCAAGATATGCTGCTCTCAGAGAAGGGAACTGTATATGGTTCCAAACCTAGTCCAAGAAGAAGCAGCAGCTTTAATAAGGCAAATGGTTACCATGCAAATGGAAATGGATCTGTGACACCCTCACCACGCAGGAGCTCGATTCCTTGTGCAACTCCAGACCTTTTAACTCCGCGTTCCAACTCAATGAGACAGAATGGTTATTTCAAGGAAATGAGAAGGCTTTCTACTGCCCCTCTCAACTTTGTGGCTATGGCTAAAGAAGACACTGTGTCTTTCTCTTCTATTTCTGGTTCCGAGCCAGAATCTCCACCTCAACGCTGAACTCACAAATTAAGTTGGTATGTCTGTCCTGCTTATTATTTTCATTTAATTTGGAATTCAGTGTCATTTCAGTTCTAGAATTTTGAATATAAGAATCACTTTCTTGAAAAGGTCACTCCATCCTCTCATGATATATATATTTTTTAAACTCAAGTATTTCAGTTTTTACTTGTGAATTCATTAGCTGAAATAGAGGGGGAGAAAACCATCCAACTATTCTTTTACTATCCTCTTGTTATAACCAAGAGGTTGTGAGTTCGAGTCACCCCAAGAGCAAGGTGGGGAGTTCTTGGAGGGAGGGAGCCGAGGTTCTATCGGAAACAGCCTCTCTATCCCAGGGTAGGGGTAAGGTCTGCGTACACCTACCCTCCCCAGACCCCACTAGTGGGATTATACTGGATTGTTGTTGTTGTTGTTGTTGTTGTTATCATCCTTGTTTTTGCTGCTTATTACTTGAACGTACATATTTCAAATACTGTTGTTTCACCTTTCACATTGTCCTTTTTCAGCTTTATATTTCCTGCACTTAACAGTATAATTCTCTTTACAGCGAGATGACCGTCAATTTTTCCACAGTATCTATATCCCAGGCCACATTCAGAAGAATACACCAAAATTTGTGAATACTGAAGGGAAGGTACACTAGTGTGTTGTTGTGTTGTATTAGGCAATTCTAGAGCAATGAGTAACTTTTTGAGGAACCCCTTGTGCATGTTGATGGGTGCCAAAAGATCACTGACCAATGTGTACTTGGAACGGATTTCTTGTTTGATCGTTTACCTTGTACATATATTTTCTTTGGATTGTTTATTTTAGGATTTCCATACGCTAGATCCCAGTAAGAGCTTGTTTCATGTTACATTGTTGCACTACTCTAATTACCCAATGTAATAACAAACAAAAAAAGGAAAAAAATTCATGTTACGTTGTTGCATTTCACATTTGAATGGGCTTGTTCTTTTTTCTGGCAACCTAATGTTAGATTATCACATTGTAGATTGTAACCATGGGCATAATGTGGGGACGTTGGTATCTAGTGGTTCTATTTGGTACCTTAAAGAGACAAAATCGTGAAGAATTTTCCAGTCTTGAGTTCACATTTCAGTGACTATCTCTGAGATTTTAAAGAGAGTTTTGCCAACTCAAAATAGATAGAAGTGATGTTGTTTTGATGTAACTGTGGGCTCATGTGGATCCCCCCATATTAAATAAATATTTGGTCGTACCTATGAATTTGTAACGTAGAACCGTAGAAGTAGACAAATTAGCCAGGCTGTGGAAATGATTTTTCCAACATCATTCAAGGATCTTGCCACCTTGATCCTCTACTTTTGTGGCCAGCTCAACACACATTATAAGATATCATAAAAATACAAATTGCTTTCATATTACTATTAATTTTAAATGATGAACGTCTTTAAGGGAAACTATTATGAAGATGATGATTATTATTTTAATAAATATACTAAAATTACTGAACAACAACAATGACAACAATATTATATTAAGAATAATCTAAAAAAATTAAATAATGATTAGTTGGTATTGTATAATTACATTAATGTGTACTATTTGACATTCCTAGCTTCCAATAAGACAGATAGTCACTGATTAGAGATGTCTTTACTTTTTAGCCATTATTTTAAATGTATTTATTCTTTAGCCAGTACTTAATAAATTTTTACCCGCCGGACAAAAATATCCCTGTGCTAGACATATATGATGTGTAAATATTAAGGACATGGTATCCTTAACTTCATGAATATTGTGTAAATATTTAGGACAAAGTGTCTTGTATTTGCACCTTCTGCTGCTAAACTTTAGGACATCATGTCCTTAACTTCACATGTGCAGTATAAATGTTTAGGACATGGTGTCCTTAACTTCATGTGTGCGATGTAAATGTTAACATAATATCATTAACTTGTATTTGCAACTTCGGTTGTTAAACTTTAGGACATCATGTCGTTAACTTCATATGTATAGTGTAAATGTTAAGGACATGGTGTCCTTAACTTCATGTATGCAATGTAAATGTTAAAGACATAATGTCCTTAACTTGTATTTGCACATCCTGTTATTAAACTTTAAGATATCATGTCCTTAACTTCATATGTGCAGTGTAAATATTAAGGACGTGGTGTCCTTAACTTCATGTGTTCATTGTAAATGTTAAGGATATAGTGTCCTTAACTTCATGAGTGATGTGTAAATATTAAGGACAAAGTGTCATATATTTGCACCTTCTGCTGATAAACTTTAGGACGTCATGTCCTTAACTTCATATGTGCAGTGTAAATGTTAAGGACATGATGCCCATAACTTCATATGTATAGTGTAAATATTAAGGACATGGTGTCCTTAACTTCACGCGTGCAATGTAAATGTTAAATACATAGTGTTTTTAACTTCATAAGTGATGTGTAAATATTAAGGACACAGTGTCCTTAACTTCATATGTGCAGTGTAAATGTTAAGGATATGGTGTCCTTAACTTCATGTATGCAATGTAAATATTAAGGACATAGCAGTGTAAATGTTAAGGATATGGTGTCCTTAACTTCATGTGTGCAATGTAAATATTAAGGACATAGTGTCCTTAACTTAATGAGTGATGTATAAATATAAGGACATAGTGTCCTTAGCTTCATATGTGTTGTGTAAATGTTAAGGACATGGTGTCCTCAACTTCATGTGTGCAATATAAATGTTAAAGATATAATATCATTAACTTATATTTGCAACTTCTGTTGTTAAATTTTAGGACATCATGTCCTTAACTTCATATTTACAATGTAAATATTAAGGACATGGTGTCCTTAACTTCATATGTGCAGTGTAAATGTTAAGGACATGGTGTCCTTAACTTCATGTGTGCAATGTAAATGTTAAAGACATAATATTATTAACTTGTATTTGCAATTTCTATTGTTAAACTTTAGGACATCATGTCCTTAACTTCATATGTGTATTGTAAATGTTAAGGACATGGTGTCCTTAACTTCATGTGTGCAATGTAAATGTTAAGGACATAGTGTCCTTAATATTTTACACATCACTCATGAAGTTAAGGACACCATGTCCTTAATATTTACACATCACTCATGAAGAAAGGGTAAAAAAAACTTTTCGTATCACTTTTAATAGAATAGTGACTATTTTTGCTCAACATTAAAAATAATGGCTAAAAAGTAAATACCACTTAAAAAAGTGGCTATACCACGCTATTTCTACTTAATTTGATAGTTGAAAGATGTCAATATTCTTTAATTTCTTGAACTAAGGCAAAGATATTAAGCGATTCTTAACTGCATGATCCCTCAAGTTTTGAGAATACTAATTGATCCAACCCAATACATCCTGACGAAGACCCAAAATCAAACTCATATCAGTTGTTAATGAAAGCCCTTCACCGATAATAAGGAACAAATCCAATAAACTCATAGTTACAAAGGCCAGAATCCAGATAATCAAGTTCAGTATCAAATCACAAGGCCCAGTAATTTCAAGTAGGCATTCAATCAATTACTTCGTAATTCGTTTATGGTTCTTCAGTTGAAGCACAACTTAATTCCAATGAAGGGATCCAATGAAGAAAATTAGAACTTAGAAGGACATAAATGCTTGATATTGAAGTTTAACCTTGTTTTCTAATGTGGGTTATCATTTGTTTTCGATTTTACAATCTATTATGACAAATGGTAAGTGATAATTTTTATGAGCAAATTGTTACACGATTGCAGGAATTCAGATGAATTTGAGGAACCAAAAAGCTGATTCAGGAAGTGGCCGGCTCGAGAAATCAGCTGAAAACTAAGAATATCATAAAGAGAAAGAGAGAAGAAGAAGATAAAAGATTTAGGAGAGAATTATGTATATTGATAGATGATTGTAAATGTTGATTATAGAGATTTATATCGATTGGATTGGATTGTATCATGAATGCCTAATTCTAATGGCAGATTCTCTTTGTAACAGAAGTCAGTTATTATAACTAATTTCAACTAACTCTAACTAACTTTGTCAGCTACTCAACTAACTGCTCGACTCCCATCCTATAATTGTGTATCAGTACTCCTCCCCCAATAGAAGATCCTTGACCACAAGGATCGAACAAAGAAAATCTAGTTTGCAAAACAATAATAAACACCCAAGTAGCAGCATTTGCAGGTAGTCCTTCCCATTTAACCAACACTTATGCAACAACTTTACTACCCCATTTTACCATTTTTCTCTGTAAACTACCTCAGGATCAGGACAATAGAGCCTGGCTAAATCAATCACAAGAGGATATGAAATTTGAGAAGACACTTGAGAATACTTTTTCAGCAATGAAACGAACTGTAGGGTGAATCTTTACTCCTGCATGTAGCAGATTAGTATATGTAACTGGACCAATTCTCTTAATAATATGAAAAGGACTATAGTACTTGGCAGCCAAATTATATGAGGTGTGATTAGAAACGGACACTTGTTTATAGGGCTGGACTTCAAATAAGCCTAATCACCAACATCAAAGTGTATATCACTCATATGGAAGTCTTCTTGTTGCTTCATTCTGAGTTGAGCTCTCCTTAAATGGTGCTTAAGTAGCTGTAATTTTAACTCCGTATTTATCAAAGTGTTATCAATTTTAGCTGAAGTTGAATCTCCAAGTAAATAAGGAAAGTGTAAGGGTGGTGGTCTACCATACAGTGCTTCGTATGGAGTAGTCTGTATAGCTGAGTGAAATAACATGTTATACCAACACTCAGCCATAGGCAAGTATGAGTACCGGTTAGCAGCATCCTCGTTATAATAGCACCTTAAGTATATTCAAGACATCGGTTCGGTATCTCAGTTTGTCCATCAGATTGAGGGTGATATCCAGATGAAATGTTTAATTGTACCCATTGCAGTGTAAATAGTTCTTTCCAGAAAGAGCTCAGGAAAGTAACATCTATGTCACTAGTAATAGCATCAGGTAAACCATGCAACTTCACTACTGTGTCCATAAAAACTTTTGCACCTGATTGAACAGTGTAAGGGTGCTTGAATAAAATGGCCATACTTGCTGAGTCTATCTACCACTACCAGTATGACCTCACAACCATACTGATATGTGACCATACCATATCTGGAATAGGTAGTGGCTGTAACAACCCATGATAAGCAGCTAGATTAGATTTGTTCCTTTGACAGAGAACATATTTATGGACAAATTTTCTTACTTCCTTTTCTCATGTTCTTCCAATAGAACAATGTTACTAGCCTGTTTAGTGTAGTTTCAACCCCTGAATGACCCCCTTGAAGAGCAGCATGCCACAATGTCATAATTTCTTCTCTTAACTCTGGCACCTTACATACTACCAACCTTCCTTTTCTCCTTAGTTGCCCATGAATCCAAGTGAACTGATTATGAGTAGTAAGATTAATTTTGAGTTCTTCAACAAGTTGTATGAGTTCCTGATCTAAGTTCCAACTATCAACTATGGCCCGGAAGAGATCAGTGTTGTTAGGTGATATTACCAATGCCAACAACTCAGCTCCAGTAACTCTTGAGAGTGCATTAGCTACCTTGTTCTCCACTCCTCTCTTGTAGTCTATGGAGTAGTCAAAAGGCATCAGCTTGGTCAACCAAAAAATTTGAGAGTTGGTATTTAATTTATGCTCCATAAGGAACTTCAGATATTTTTGATCAGTTCTTATGATAAACCTCTGTCCCAATAGGTATTGTGACCATTTAGTGTCTGCATGTACAATGCCTATCAATTCTCTATCATAAACAGATAGTACTGCATGTCTAGGTGATATAGATTTGTTGATAAAAGCTATTGGATGTCCTTATTGCATAAAGATTGCCCCTATATCATAGCTACTTGCATCGGTCTCTACAATAAATGTCTTATTGGCATCAAGTTTGGTTAGGACATGAGCTTGAATGAGTGCTTCATTCAGTT